GGGCTGTGGGCTTCGGAGCGCTGCACGGCAGAGACGGGGCTGGTGCTGTCGGCGGTCGCGGGCGCCGGCGCAACCGCGCCGGCTTGCGTGGCCGTGCCGCCGTCAACCATGGGCGGGGCCGCTGCCGCGGCCGTGGCAGTCAGCAATGCAACCTTTCCTGTTACGCCGCCAAAGAGGGCGCGACCAGCCTGGGCGTGGGTGTCGACCGGTTGCTCTTGGTGGGCCTCGACGCAGGCAATATCCCGGCTGTTGGCTCTTTCGTATCTGCGTATGACAAAACCGCGTCCGTGCCACAACAACGTTAAAAACAGTATCATTATTATTTTTATTTATATGTAGTATTACTACTATTATCATTAATTCAATTAGTAATATTGTTATTTTATAAATTAATTATTATTTATTTATCATCATTTTATTTAATCAGCCATGTCGCACAGATGATCCTATGTCCCGACGTCCCCGAGACACGGTGTTACCCCTCGTCCCTCGCTGACATGCAAGCGGCCAGCAGGCGCGCCGCGTCTTATCCTTCTCCTTTCCTCTTGCTGCGTTTATCATGTTTCCTACTCGTGCATTACACAAGTCCAGACAGCTATCCTAACCAGACCAGCTTAAGTAAGACCGGGCCATTAGGACCGATAATCTACCTAAAAAAGGGTAACCTCCCTTTTGCCTCATATCCCGATGACACACTATAGGCTTAACTTCGCGCTAGACGCTTCACGCCATTTTCCACACGCGTTCCCATCCCATCCCATCCCCATGGTCACCCGACGGTGCCCCCACCTGTGCTCGTACACCCCCGATCCGAATAAGCCCCACGTGGACTGCGATAACGCATCCGCCGGGTTGCCGTCCAGCCCGAACGGTAAGCCGCTCCGACGACGAATTCGCGACAGCCGTGGACTGCCGCTGCACAACCCCCCCGTTCCAGTCACCCCCGTAAACGACGATGCACCAGCGCCAGCGGCGCTGATGCCGGTGCTGGCGCCGCCGGCGCCGCGGCAGCCGCTGGCGTGAGATATACCGGGAATCGTGGAGCCGCTGTTGGGCCGGGGCTCGCGCCCGTGGACGCCGCTGAGTACGGCAGAAAACGTCGTACTGCGTCGCGGCACTTTGACCTGCTTGGACAGGCCGCCGTGGATGGAGATGGAGCTGGATCGGATGGAGCGTGGGAAGAATTTGGTGTTACCTGTCGGGCTCACCTGCGGTCAGTGTGCCATGGGTGGCGGAAGCGGAGGAGGAGTAGCATTACTGGTAGTGGTAGTGGTAGTGGTAGTGGTAGTGGTAGTGGTAGTGGTAGTGGTAGTGGTAGTGGTAGTGGTAGTGGTAGTGGTAGTGGTAGTGGTAGTGGTAGTGGTAGTGGTAGTGGTAGTGGTAGTGGTAGTGGTAGTGGTAGTGGTAGTGGTAGTGGTAGTGGTAGTGGTAGTGGTAGTGGTAGTGGTAGTGGTAGTGGTAGTGGTAGTGGTAGTGGTAGTGGTAGTGGTAGTGGTAGTGAGTACGAGGAGGAGGGGAAAAGGAGGAGTGTTGCAGGATCCCAGGTGCAGGTTAAGAGCGCGGAGGATGGGCAGAAGGCATGCAAACTCCAACATTTACACACACAAGCACACACACACACACACACACACACACAAACACAAACACGCAAGCACTCACTTGTCCTGAACCGTCCGCCAATCCTTCCGCCGCCATGCCGCCAGCCCGCCCCTCACCGCCTCCACCTCCGCCACCACCCCCGGTGGCGACAGCGGCGGTCGGCCCGCTCCGCGCCAGTCCGTTCACGCCGCCGCCCTCGGCCCTCTCCGCCGACGACAGCTGCCGATGCTGCGCAAACGACACCCTCTCGTGCTCCTGGCTCTGCTCCGGAACCGCCTTAAGCGCACGCATCGACCGTACATGACTCAGCACACCGTCGCCCTTACCCGCGCAACTGTTGGTGCTGTTGATCGGCGCACTCGTGCCCAGCGCGAAGGATCCCTCAAACGCATCGTTCCGGTTGCCAATAGAGGGCTCATTGGTGGGTAGTGCAAAGGACATCACGTTGGCGCCGGTGAAGGCGAGCCCGTCCATGGTAAAGATATTGTCTGGGTCAGGGCCCATGAATGCCCCGGCGGGCGGTACGCCCTGCGGGGCGTTGAGCAGGTTGCCGCCGGGGGCTGCGAGGTGGCGACCAGTGGCCGCGAGGGTGGTGGGTACAGGCAGGATGCTGCGCCACACGCCGCCCTGTACCATGGACTCCAGCATGCCTTCCAAGGCGTCTGGTGGCGCGTATTGGAACCTGCGCAAAAATGGGTTCGGGTTTTCAAAGTCGGATGAATGGGGGGATAGATGGGTGGTGCTTCACGGGGTTATAGCGGGAGACATGTGCAGCAGCAGCAACATGCGCAGCAGCAGCAAAATTATTATCATTATCATTATCAGCAGTAGCAGCAGCAGCAGCAGCAACAGCAGAAGAAGAAGAGAGGAAAGAGGGGAAGAAAAGCACAAGAGCATGGAAGGGGACCGGAGGACTGTAGGTAGGCTTTTCCACCCACGCCCCTCACCGAAGAAGACCCCCTCTCCGTCGGTCTGCACCATGTAATCTTTTTCCGCCCCCCCATACATAGCTCTCTGGTATTACAATAGATATCTATACTATGCTATACAATAAATAAATATCCTCAACTGCACGATCAACGATCATGAACACAACACCCTACGTTCATCATTCCATTGCGGCGCTTCTTAATAGGTGACTAGCGTCTACTCATGTGCCTGCCAGCCTCGCTGTGCCACCGTTCCTGACCACTGTTCAAATCTTTTTTTAAAAAATACCTTCACCCCACAGTACTCGCCGTACTCGCGCTGCAGGTTTAGATGGAACCAGCAAAAGGTTCGATTCAACATAAACAAACGCTATTCAAAACAAACGCTATTAATCTAATGACAATGACTCACAGTTGCGTTAGGACGGGTCGTTCGTCCTCCTCCTCGGAAGTCGCCTCGGCGTTAGGGACCAACGCAGCAGGGCCCAGGGCGACGGGGCGCTTGGCATTCCGGCCGCCCCCACAGGAGCCCCGCCGCTTGTCGCCCGCCTTCTCCATTGCTTTGCGCCGCTGGTAGCCGTAGTATGCAATTGATCTGCGTTAAGAAAGGCCGAGCGAGGGGCACGACGATACATAGAGAAAAACAACCGACGCCGACGCTGCAAAGCGCGTGTGTGTACATGCCAGCATGTGCGCGCGTGCGTGCGTGCGTGCGTATGTATGTATTATGTATGTATGTGTGTGCGCGATTGCATGAGTACGGGTACAATTAATAGCGACCCGGAAGGGAGTGTGGTCGGAGGCGGACGGGATGTGCGGCGGGGTTTCTCACGACCGGGGGGGGTGGTGCAGCACACAGGCAGTTGCCAAAGTACCTATCACAGCAGCAACATTTAACCGCGAGAATTGGGGACTTCCAGAGCCTTCCCATGCCCCGGCGTCCGGTGTCCAGAGACGCAGGATCCCAACCGTGGCGGAATCGCACGTGAGGTATTAACAGACCAAAACGTGAGGAAAACTAGAAGCCATGCTCGCTGCCCGCCACCACCGCTATCGACAACAGCGATTATGATCCTGAAAATCCAGACCTCTCCATCATTACGATGCCTATGCAAACACGCATGTCGCTGGGACCAAAATGTGCCACACCCAGCCTGCCAGCAAGCCGCATCGCCCACCGCTCCACCCCCATCGCTCCTCTGGCGGCAATATATCCCATCCCCCCTGCCCGCCGCCCGCATCCACAATTACCCCCCCCCCCGGAACAGCCGGCCAGCTATATTTTCCCACCGGTCACCGACTCATCCACACATGCCCCCCGGGCCCCAGCCCCCAGGGTACCCACCCGGCGTTCTGGTGCAGCACATCGCCCTTCAAGGTGAACAAGGTGATGATGGCGCTGATGTGCCCCATCATGGTGTAGTCCCGCTGCAAGTGCTCCAGGAAGGCGCCCTGGGTCACAAAATAATAAAGGGGCACGGAAAAGGCGCATAAGCGGGTCCAGAGGACGCGGGAAAGAGGGAGTTGCTTTCCAAACACGACACGAATCCACTGTGGACGGTATTGGTAAGCCGGATTGCAAGAAGCAGAGGCCAGAAGCCTAGTGGGGAATGCGGTCGGAAAAGCGGGGAGCTGAATGGCTCAAGTGGCAGCAGGAGGGTTGGAGATTTGTACGTCATCCCCCCTTCTGGATGTGCGCACCTTGCACTGACGCTACATCCCCCCCGTGTTTGCATGCCCCCCATAACTACCATCCATCCATTCCTCCTGAGCCATCAATCCCCAATCATCAAGACGACGATTCTCATTCAGTATTATACCCATTTCCTCTTCCTCGTATTCGTTATTCATCACCCGCGACCTCACAACGATCAACCCCCTTATCATGCCCTCGTACCTGATTGCTGTCCGGTGAGAACTCAAATATGATGCATGGCACCACCTCGCCGCTGGACTTCTTGTAGCCGCACCCCCGCATGTTGACGGGCACGAAGGGAAAGACCTTGGGGTTGCTGGTGTTGACGAAATGGCTCATTGAGTGTACTACAATGGTGTTGCGGTCACCGTCGTGCAGGCTGCTGGCCATGCTGGTCCGATTCACAGGCGCGGACAGCATCTCATCCAACATCTCCTGGGGACCAGGAGGAGATGGAATGGAGGCGGGCCAAAAAGCCAGTTCAGGATGGGGAGTTAGGACGGGAGTTAGCGTCGCCATCTGGGTCACGTTCGCTGGTCTGGTTGGCGCGTTCGACTCCCCCTTCGTATCCTTCCCCTCCTTCCTCGTGAACCCACCTGCGACCCACGCGCCATGGAAGTCGGGCCCCCTCTTCAGGCCCATCTCTTCAGGCCCATCTGTTCAGGCCCCCCTCTTCAGGCCCCCCTCTTCAGGCCCCCCTCTTCAGGCCCCCTCTTCAGGCCCCCTCTTCAGGCCCCCTCTTCAGGCCCATCTCTTCAGGCCCCTCTGTTCAGGCCCCTCTCTTCAGGCCCCCCTCTTCAGGCCCCCCTCTTCAGGCCCCCCTCTTCAGGGCCCCCTCTTCAGGCCCCCTCTTCAGGCCCCCCTCTTCAGGCCCCCCTCTTCAGGCCCCTCTCTTCAGGCCCCCCTCTTCAGGCCCCCCTCTTCAGGCCCCCCTCTTCAGGGCCCCCTCTTCAGGCCCCCTCTTCAGGCCCCCCTCTTCAGGCCCCCCTCTTCAGGCCCCCCTCTTCAGGCCCCCCTCTTCAGGCCCCCCTCTTCAGCCCCCCTCTTCAGGCCCCCTCTTCAGGCCCACCTCTTCAGGCCCCCCTCTTCAGGCCCCCCTCTTCAGGGCCCCCTCTTCAGGCCCCCCTCTTCAGGCCCCCCTCTTCAGGCCCCCCTCTTCAGGCCCCCTCTTCAGGCCCCCCTCTTCAGGCCCCCCTCTTCAGGGCCCCCTCTTCAGGCCCCCCTCTTCAGGCCCATCTCTTCAGGCCCCCCTCTTCAGGCCCCCCTCTTCAGGCCCCCTCTTCAGGCCCCCCTCTTCAGGCCCCCCTCTTCAGGCCCATCTCTTCAGGCCCCCCTCTTCAGGCCCCCCTCTTCAGGCCCCCCTCTTCAGGCCCCCTCTTCAGGCCCCCTCTTCAGGCCCCCCTCTTCAGGCCCCCCTCTTCAGGCCCCCCTCTTCAGGCCCCCCTCTTCAGGCCCCCCTCTTCAGGCCCCCCTCTTCAGGCCCCCTCTTCAGGCCCCCCTCTTCAGGCCCCCCTCTTCAGGCCCCCCTCTTCAGGCCCCCTCTTCAGGCCCATCTCTTCAGGCCCCCCTCTTCAGGCCCCCCTCTTCAGGCCCCCTCTTCAGGCCCCCCTCTTCAGGCCCCCCTCTTCAGGCCCCCCTCTTCAGGCCCCCTCTTCAGGCCCACCTCTTCAGGCCCCCCTCTTCAGGCCCATCTCTTCAGGCCCCCCTCTTCAGGCCCCCCTCTTCAGGCCCCCCTCTTCAGGGCCCCTCTTCAAGCCCCCTCTTCAGGCCCCCTCTTCAGGCCCATCTCTTCAGGCCCCCCTCTTCAGGCCCCCTCTTCAGGCCCCCTCTTCAGG